TGTACTAAAGTTACCATAATTCAATTTGGTCAAGAATATATTTGAGTGCACTCTGATTTTGTAAGATGTTTGTTTGTTCTTTGTACTTGTTTGTTTGTAATTCTGTGAACAGCTGTTCCCTTTTCATTTGAGCTCAACAATTTTTCTCTTTTATCATTTGTTCATAATACAATTTAGGTTATAGGCTTAAAAGCATGCTTTCACCTGAGTTACCAGTTGGTCTAAGTGATATCTAAATTGGCTTTCTCATAGTTCATCATAAAAATTAACCACAATTCCAAAGAGTGGGGAGAGATTATTGGACAGGACTCCAATTGGTGAACAGAGGAGTGGCCAACCTTTGTTCACTAATAAGAAGCCCCCATTGAGCTCAATAGTCTCTTAGTAGACACCCCCAATAATTTGGTCATTGGTCAAAATATGTTTTCTAGATAAAAAAAGATAAATAAATAAAATAAGGTTTTCTCATAAAAGATGTTCTTGGTACAAAACTAAATTAAGACAAGTTTTCACAGATGTATGGCAATTCATTAGTGTTAATCTCATGGTTATTACATGTATCCATGATTCCAGATGTACAGGTCTTCCAAAATGTAAAACAAAGATTGCTTATAGTGATAAGACTTTCTTTCAGTCTTGTTAAAGACTCTGCCTTCAACAAAAAACTTATGTGATGTATATCCCATTAAAGGATAACAAATTAGGTAAAAGCTTCTTATGTATTAGATAGAGATGACTGGCTAAAAGGGTTATGTTATGTCAAAATGAAAATTTAAGTATGTTTCAAAATGGCATCATGATTGTCATGCTGCAATATTATATATGGTTTTGATTCCTAATTTCTATATAAAAATATGTAACTGTTGCCTGTTAAATTCTATAAGGATTTAAATATTAGGATATCCGGGGCTGGGGATTTAGCTTAGCGGCAAAGCGCCTGCCTGGCAAGCGCAAGGTCGTGAGTTCGGTTCCCGGTACCAGAGAAAAACCAAAAAAAATAAAAAACCAAACAAATAAATATTAGGATATCCATGGTTGTTAGGAAAAAAAAGTTCCATTTTATGTTCTAAGGTATTTGATATTCAGATAAGAGAGTAATATTAAGCCTACTTCTTCCATTATTGTGTAATGTCATTAATCTTCTCTTCTGGATGTTTAACAACTGAGGGTTGGAGACAAAAAAAAATAGAGAGATAAATGGACTAAAAGGACAGCCAATATACTGACCCTAGCCCTCTGAAGTTAAGGAGGACCCAGGTTTTAAGAGAACCTCTGCTGCAACATCCTATAACTTGGTGGAGTACCTTATTTTCTGATCAAAGAGATTATGAGACCACAGAGGAAAGTGATTCAGCAATGTATAGTGCATCTAAAGAGAGTCACCAGGAGAGAAAAAATTTCTTAAGCTTTCACAGAAAGCAATTTGGTCAAGCAATGGCTGTGACTCATCCACATGGCTGACACTGACAGACAATCTAAGAGGTGCTGTACTTGGTTCTAAGTTAAATCCTGGGAGATTTAACTGACCTTGATAGATATAAAAAAATTGATTAAAATGGATCTCACCTTAACTTGGTCTGAAACATCCAGCAGAAAAGTATAACCACAAGATGTATAAAAAACAATGCCATAGTGATATGTTAGCTGTAAAAGGTTCAACTCACCAACAGCATCTGACAATTGCCAGCTGCACTGGTAACTGACCACTGTTATGGAGTATTGGACTATATAGGGATAACTTGCTGTATACAGCTATCTAGAGTCTTTGTTGTTTTTTTTTTTTTTTTTTTTTTTTTTCTCCGGTACCGGGAACCAAACTCACGACCTTGCACTTGCCAGGCAGGCGCTTTGCCGCTGAGCTAAATC